GCAACTCAACCAATGAAAAGGGATCAGTTTCCCCTTTCTTTAGTTCTTGTTGTCCTGCAGATTGTAACTACGGCCCTTTGGGCTGGATCCCTGGCAGCAGGGCTGACTGGACCCCGCAGCTGCAGGAGGTACATTACAGGTGGAGTATGTTCCATTCCCCAGTGTCCATTAGGCCTTTCAGCTACTGGAGGAAGGTAAGAGCACAACCCAAGACAGGTGAAAGCTCTGTCAGGAGAGGCGATATGTTTTCATTGGACCAACTGACAGAGCTGACAGAGAGCAGAGCAGCTTTCAGGAACGGAAACCCTCCTTCACTAAGCCCAGCATCACTGGGTGAAGGGGAGGCAGAACAATAGCTCCCTTCTCTCAGGAAGGTTAACCACCGCTGTGGGATGCATCTGGCAAACATTTTATACTGCCTGAATCCAACTTTTTCTTTTTTTTTTTTATTTTTTTTTGCATGGCATTTATATTTTCGATTTTTGTACTATTAAAAGATAGTTTAAATTTGTCAATGGCTACAGCACGGCAAGAATTCATACAGTCCAGCTCTTGCAGTCTTTGCAGTACCTGCCTGCCGATAAACCCACACCTCTCCCTGCTGCTTAGCACGGGGAGATCTTTTTGGTAAGATGTCTCTGTGTCTTAGAATAGGATTTCTCATTACCCAAGATTATATCCGCTCCCACTGATAGTTTTTCACTTCATGTTCTTAACCTTCTGCGGCTGACATCTCAGTCATCTTTGCAACAACTGAGCTGTCAAATGGAAGGGTGAGACTGCGATCAGAGGGAGTGCCAGCAGGAAGAGAGTGAATTTGTACGAGCACAAAACTGGTGCTTTTGTTCATCTACCTGATTGTAACAGTAGAGAAACAAACAGAAAGAGCATCACCTTTAGAAGAGTAAAATTCTTGCGCAAAACAAAACATAGCTTCATTGCATATCCAGTCTACCTTGGATTTATTCAGCGCTCCTTTCCTTTCTGTTTGCTCATTAAACAGGGAAGTTGGGTTGTCAATGGTTAATGTAAATGTAATGTAATCCAAACTCTGCTTCTTTTAAAATCCAAGTAAGACACCAGCTATGTAACTGGGAGCAAAACAGACGTCTTGGGAGAAAAATTTTATTAGGAAAGGTGATTTGTGGGACACTGGGGCCTGCCCTCTGAATTCCTTTAGGCCACAGGCCTCATGTTTGTTGTTAAAAGCAAGATAAAAAGCTCTCTCACCTCCTTTTTCTTTTCCAAGCAGGTTGGTGAATTTCAAGCTAGATGTTTCTAAATCACTGCTAAATACATTACCAGTGTGCCACTGTTTAGTACTTCAGTACCGCTCAAAAACAAGTCCCTTCTCAGAAGCCCAACTGCATAAATATATACAGCCAGTTATGAAATCCATCACTACCTTTTGATAGATTTTGAAGAAAACGTGACTCGACATGAGTTAGACATTACCTGTACTTCAAAATGTTATAAAACACTCTCCTGAAGCTCTTATATAATAAGACATGATAAAAATAAGATTTTTACCTTAATACTTAACCAGCACTGACTACCACTACTATTTACAAAAAGAAAAAAAAAGTGTTTAATAAAAACTGCTGGTAGCTTAAACAAGGCTTTAAGGTTGCTTTAGCCTTGAGCCATCACTGGGCATTCCTTTCACAAAATGAGAGAGGGCCTGTTGCTGCTGAATTGCAGCTCTGTCTGGGAAGGGCACCCTCCTGCAATACAAACCTCCTTTTCATACAGGTAACAGCAGCAAACCACTCTCCTTCAGCCCCAAGCCTGAGAGCGTAGCTGTTCACCCACCAACAGGAAAACTCCCCTGGCACAGTGCCCCCACTCCTCCTCCCCAAGGCTGCAAGAGCACAGAAAGTCTTTAAAAAACACATGCAAAAACCTTACAAAACCAGATGCAAACTCTGTCAAATGAGCACCGAGTTACTGAAGCTTTGAACCGAGTGTCTTCTAAGTGAAGGCGTACTTTCCCAGTCGTTTGGGGAAAATGAGGAAACTTCATGTCTGTTGTTCTAAAGTGTCTTCAAAGACAAGGCTAGCAAAGATTATTCACCACCAGTCACTCATATTTTAATTAGAATCATCTGGATCTGCCCTAATTTTCAAATGCCACCCTGGTATCTACGCTAGCTTTTCCACTGGAATGACAAACAGTAGTTTTTAAAATAAATAAAAAAAAAAGCTAATACAACAGCAAAGCACTCGATGGCAGAACAGGACCAAGGTCCATCTTGTTACTGTGGTTTAGTCATGTGTAGAATATGAAGTAAAATGAAAAGCAGAAAGTAAACACCAGGGTTTGTACAGTCTGGCTCCAACTGTGACAGCACATACAGGGTGATGACTACATATTGTTAAAGATGCCAAGTTTCTGGTTATTCTTTCAGGAAAGCCAAAGCTCAATGAAGTACACATAATTATCAGGAAAACACATTAAACTGATCTAGCAAAAACTAGACTAAGCAAGCTTCTCACCCAGTAAGTGTAAGTAATATTTCCAAGACTCCAAATTTTACCTTGGGATAGAAAAACTCCCTCATTTGTGGCATGAGTTCAGCCCCAAAATGTGCAAACTCCTTGAAATATTTACACACACAGGAAACCAAGTGACACCTTTTTGACTCAGAGATACCTAGACCCCTAAAGTGTCTGCAGTTCGAGAAGAAAAAGGACAAGTTCTCCCCTGCAATGAGCAGATAGCACCCGAGTGATTAAAAATTTATTCCCACCCTACACGTGGTATCCAAAGAAACAATACATACAAAGATTTATTTATTCCATGATTACACAAGCCTCCTGGGTTTAATATTTTGAATCATATGACAAAGTTCGAGATACTTGATTTGTTAGATACAACAGGTAAATCTCAAAGAAGGGTTCTTGCATGTATGAAAAAAGTCACGTCACTTAATGTGACCTCCACGACTTAACACATTCCAGCAACAGACTGTATTTATAATGTATTGTTTTCATGATACTGTTAACCTTCTCCTGCAGATCTGCTCCTCTCCTTAAGGAATCTTTCCTACTTTCAGACGTAGTTGTTTTGTTCATTCTATCACTTTATATATAATTTACATCAGTCTCATCCCAAATATTGTTGACGTATGGGCTTCTAATTCAGTTGCTGTTTTCTAACAGTAAGCGTCTTTGCGGTCAATCTACACTTCAGAAGAACTTGTGCACAGCACAAATTAATGCAAATGGCTTTCTCAGTTTACCTACTGAAGGATACTGCATCCAGAGATGGACTCTCTGAACACATCTTTCAGTAGTCCAGGCTGTATTTTTAAACTAATTATATAGGTTTATAAAAATGTATACAAAAAATTATCCTTGGACCAGTACAATGTCTAAGACACAGTTGGTAAAGATGTGTAAAATTATTCAGGTATTTCTAACTCTGAAATTATAATATAGAGTATTATGGTGTAAACTTAGGTTACACAGAGAAATAATTTTTTCTTAAGTCAAGAACTCTGTAATAGAATAAATAATTTACAAGCTTGAGAAGATCTGCATTGTTTCCTACACAAAGACGTGTTACCTATATTGTCAAGAGCGTAGAGGAACTAAGTATTTCTGTCGGTGGTTGTAAAACTTAAATACGTGTTTTTGTTCACATAATTCTCCTCTTTAAATATGCTAGAGGTAGATGAAGATAAACCCCAAAATGTAAGGATTAAGATCCTGCACATAAGTTCTAAGCCTGCAAATCTAGCGAGCATATGTTCTCACCAGATTTACTGAAAGCAGTTTTTTTTTCTTCCTTTTTTTAAAATAGAACAGCACTCAACTTCTTCCTTCCACGTTGTCAAAATCAGTGCTCGATACTGTCATAAAATAATTTTCAAAGCATTCCTGAATTAGAGCTGAAGCAGGTCCCATCTCGCACTCTCCAGTCACTCTCGATAGATTTCCGGGGACCATCTGTTGAGGAAATGCCGCCCACCCAGCGCTGCCCAGGCGGCTCCTGGGCCTCCCCCCAAAACAATGACCAGGGACAGATCTGCAGATCCCACTGAAGGTAACCCTGGGGAAGGTGTGGGAGCGAGGGAGGTGGGGCTGAAGGCAGGAGCAAGAACCGGGCGACCTTCACGTCCATCACAGATGGTGACCTTTCCACAGATTTCTCAAAAAAGTACTTTTAGCATGGGTGTGTCTGTGTGCGAGGGCTGCAAAATATTCGGTTATTACCACAACGTCAGAGATTTTATTAGGCTCATGAGTATTTACAAGATCTCATGTAAAGCCTTGGTTTTGGCAAAGAGAAAATTATAAAGCGGTAAGAGAATTTTCCAAAACGCAAATTGCTTCATTAATGCCCTGATGGACCCAAAGAAAAATTGAAGATGAACCACTTAGATCTGACTTCCTACTTTTCTACAGCCTGGCCTGTGGCTTCCAGTCTTCCGATGTCTCCTCTGGTCTCTCTCCACCTGTAATTTAATCTACTTTATTCAGCCAAAATCTATCAATGTGTTGAAGCCAAGCATATATATGAAAACTTGCAAAAAATAGGAAATAGCTTGGCGGCCCTTTTCAAAACTACTGAGCAAAGTACACTTCCTCCTCATTGTTCAACTGACAAAAAGGAGGAACCATCACCACATGCCAGAACATCCGCAGAGAAGTGCCTCCAAGTTTCTTCACAACAACAATACTGGCATGATCACAGAGACACGATTCCTTTTCTCTCTCTCTCTCTCCCTCTCTCCGTACTATAACGGTAGCCATCAAAATCTCATTTGGTATGCAAAAAAATATAATTACTGCAGTACAATTTCCACAGCAATTTGAAGTGTGCCTTTTTCTCTTTTAAGTTACTATTTAAATTTAATGAAAACGATAGGACGGACTGAGATGGCAAACCCCCAGCATTTTATATAATTCAGTTCACTTGGTTTAGTTACAGAACAACGATCCTGGTGGTTAAACTAAACCCATGGATCTAAATGAATTGGGTGATTTTGTGCATTCTAGAATCAATGCACACTTCAATACTTGTTTCCCTTTGCAATATTATCAATCTCCACAAACCTTCGCCTTATGGACGCTGAACCAATTTACTCTTATTGCTCTCCTGCTCGCTAAGCTTGAAGTGAGTGTAAGCTAAAATGCCCAACAATGTGCACACAATCCCGAGGCCTTGATTAACAGAGAGTGGATCCTTAAATAAGAGGCACCCTCCCAGGAGGGTGATGCAGAACTTGAAATGTCCAAACATGTTATACCTACACAACTGTCAAGGAAGCAAGTATCGAGGTTGCTTTTTGGGTTTTTTATGTAAAAAGAAAGATTTGGGAACTTCATTAATTACATCCAAAGCATGCAATGGTCAACTCATGCAACTTTTCTGCACCTCTGTGGCTATGAGAATTAACCTCCACTGAAAGTCTGTCACCCATCGTAGACTACGAAGTAAATGACACGTCAACACTTCCTCAATGTAGCCAGAGCGCGGGTAAATATTCTTTATGTGAAGGATGAAGATGATGTCAGTAACTTAACTGCCGTTATCTATACACGCCCTAAACGAACAAAAAAACCACACAAAAACACAAACATGCTTTTATAGCTTCATCATTTAAGATAAAGCAGGCAGGTAACCAAACCATTTTCCCCACGGTAAATCAGCCCGAATGGATGCCAGCATAAATCATCTGGAGGGACAACTAAAGTTACAAAGGATACGTGACAGGTGACGTATTTCCAATGATCCAGTAAATGGACAAGTTTACCATGAAGGCTATTATTCCAGACAGCAGTACCATTATCTGTGGATTAATGGGCAGAGTCAGTAATCCAGCACATTTTTGGCCATTTGTAGATTCAGTCCAGGTTATTTACTTAATTTCCTTTAATTTCAAATGCAAAATATCAGGCAAGAAAAACATACGGAGAACAAAAATAGAAACAGCTTCCAATCAGTACAGACACTGATGATGAGCGTAAGTAGCTCAGGGTATGATGTCCCTAAATAAATACTGATATGACGACAAGCCTTTTCTCCCTTACCCTTGTTGAACATTTAAGAGTGATTTGCAAAATCTGACTGTTCGTACACAACGAGGCTGTATTCTTTACGTTTGAGACAAAGTCTTATCTATGGCCACAAAAAAAACTGTTCTGGAAAAACATCCAATTTTATTACTGAGAATACTTGGTATCCTGTTCATAAACTGCAGCTCTTCAAGAAATGACCCGTCACTGAGCAGCACAATCAGCAGCGGTAAGAATATGCCACTGGCTCTTTTTTGGACAGAAGCACAGAGAGAGAGATTATAGCCTTCTTGGTGAAAATAAACTAGCAATTCTAGAGAACAACCAGTGTTGGCATCCTTCCACAGAAGAGGAACTCTTCCGTGTCAAACGTGAGCATGCTCATCTCTTTTCTGAGTGGACAGTAAGAGCTTGAACTAGGGCACTTACATATTTTTAATTTATTACCCTAGGTGAAGCCTCTGGATTTTGTCAGATTTTCCTGTTGCTCAGATGCCCTCTAAATGGAAACAAGAATAAGGAGGTAAATCAATTGACAGACAGAATTCTCTAGGAGCAAGTGGGGCAGACAAAACAAGGTGTTTTCTTCTCCTGCACATTCCCCTCTCATCTCACCGTAGTCCCTGACTGTACAAAAAACTGTTTTCCAAAGGAACTGATCTTACTATCAAATTTAACTACACAGAATCATAGAATTAACATCAATGATATCTATTTATTTAAATAAAGTCAATAAAAGCCTTACCACAGCAGAAAGTGTCCAGGGCCCAAATATTCCCCCTTCTCCAAAGACTGGCTCAAAGAAGGGTATGATGAACAGCAACATAGCCAAGGACATTGGTGCCTGATAGTACAGCAGCTGCATAGAGTTTACCTGCAACTCGTGCTGCTTAGCTCCTACCCACTAAAACAAAAGAGAAAGCTGTTAAACGTGAGGAGAAAAAAACCAAACAACCAAACGACATAAATTGAAAACTAGAGCAAAAGCCAACTGGCTACTAACACATGGACAACAGCACATGGACAGAGAGCTGAGCATCATTTTCTACCTTCGCCTAACCAGAGGCCTGTGCATTTGTCTCTCGAGAGCACACAAGCCACTTGCGGAGAAAATCATGTGCACGGGCATTGAAAACCTCCCAGATACCTAAACCTGGCTTTTCCCATTGCCTGAGGGTGAAGTATTATATTTGAGGAAGAACAAGAATGTAGAAGGGCTGGGGGAAAAAATGCCAGCTCCTTTTTATTCTCCATTCAAATTCCAGATCCTGCCTATAATGGACCTAAGCACCTTTGCCTAAGCAGAGGTCTGCTTTTGCTCCTTTTCATTTCTCTTGACACATAAGCTAACAAAACCAGTAATTGCTTGGTAGTTTATTCTAAATTTACTGGATTTGATTTTAATGTTATTGACTGCAATTGACTGTAACTTGGATTTTCAAAGTAGCATGCTTTAAGAGACAACATTAGTTATCTACAGTTATGAAGCTGGATGTTGCAGCCAAAAAGATGCATCTTTGTATCATAGTAATTTATAAATCACATTAATTAATACTTTAATTAATTAATTAATACTTTAATGCTTTGTAAATCACATTAATTGGTAACATGTTTTCTAGCATATAAACTTGCTAATTTTTTTTAAAATTCCAGAAAAATTTCACTCAGTTACTGCCATTTCTCCAGTATGAACACCATCACCTACAAGTTACTGTGCTGCATCTCTCTCCTCCTCCCAGCCCCAAACAGGACAAGAGACCAATATTTCTCATCTCGCACACTACAGGTCAAAGAGGCTGACTTGTTTTGGAGGCCCAGTACCCTTGCTACAAAGAAAATGATGTTTAAATTGATGATGACTATCACATCAGCGTGACAGGGGATTCTAATCTGGGAAGCTTTTACAATCATAGCTGATAATTAACTGGTCGTGAGCCATTAGTACAATGTTACAGCTGAAAGGGCTAAGGCAGTCCTTGGAGATGCTTATTTTTCTGACCACAACCAGCCAGGTTATATTGTGCATACATATTAATGCATATTGTGCATACATATTAATGCACCCCCTACAAAAACACCTTGGACTGTGTATAACCAAAATTGAAGAAGGATGCTGATAAAAACAGCTCAAGGATAAACCATGGGATTAACTGAAGGGCTGGAAAATGTCCTTTCTAGGGAAAGGCTCAAATGCAAGGCACTTGCTTCAGCCAGGAGAGAAATCTGTGCTCTTTAGAAATAAACAGAGCTTTACCGATAAAACGATCTTCACCCCTGGAAAATATGCTCACGACCACGTTAAAGACGACACCTGCAGCAAGGACAATCAGTTCCTTAAACGATTTACCAGAGGTTGCAGTGGACTGTCATCAATTTAGTTTCTTTCTTAAATAAATAACGGAGTGGAGGAGGGTTTCCTAGAAGGTGGGGTGCTGCTTAAAGGCGATCTACCCGAGGCCCAGCAGCCTGAA